CCCCACCGGCCCCCGCTTCCCCCCTCCCCATCTTCAATCTATTCAATCCCCCCCCCCCCCCCCCCCCCCCCCCCAGATTCACCCAAACATGCATGTGTGGGCGAGGACCGGTGATGCAATAGGCTCTTTAAACATTTAAAGAACGGGTCAGCTTTTCAAAGCGAGGAGCTGGAACCTTTGGCCACTGCTCCAGTTATCATGGTCAGCGGTTGAAAGTCTGGTGATATGTCAGAAGGAAAACAAATGAATGTCTAATGAATGGAAAGCCTAGATGATGAATGAAACTTCACACTGGTACATTGCTAGTTTATTTGGATTATGAGTGTATATCTTTGACATACTTTTGCTGATAGGATGAAAAGAAACAACCCTTTTATCCACTAAAAAAGTAGGAACAATATTGGGAGAAATGTGTATTATATTATGTTGACGCTTAAATAAGTACAAGCACATTGGAACAGCACTGAATTTCTTATAACTACATCAAGTATCTTTCAGTAAACCCCACATCTTTTTGTTACTTCAGCAGAGAGAAAATTAAAACAAGTCATTTCTGAGTAATGATGAGTCATGGCCTCAGCCAACCTTAAATCTGAAACCTAAACAAATCATAGTCTGGGTGCCCCGCATGACAAAGGAGAAGAGCGCAAGAACAAGAGCATTCCAAAGGGTAGAAAAACGAGGGAGGGGGATTACTTTATTAAGATGTACTGAAACACAGATCACCACAGATGGATGAGCGCCTCGCACAAAAAGGGTTTTCAGAGAATCAAATCCATCTCGTGCAGGAGTCGCAAACATCTGTTTGAAAAGTCAAACTGCTGCAAATCTAGGTCTTTCGTTTGAAACTTTTTTTTAAACCGCTGGACAACATGCTAAGACATCAATGTCAGAGGGCTCTGTCTAAGCTTAAAAAGACAAAGAGAAAAGGACAAAGAAGTGAGATCTGCTAATAACCAAAGGGTTGTGCTTCTCCATACAATTCTAACAAAGAGGCTCCAACCCGGGCCTCCATCAACAGAGCATCTGGGCCATCCACATAAGGAGGTAAATGCTAATATTGCTCTAGCTGGCAGATACAATAAAGTCTAGCACACTTTTCCTGGCGCATTTCCAGGGCAGATGTTTGGCCTTGAGGCTTCTGGTGAGATGGCAGTCGGGGTCAGTCTGGAATTAGGAGAGCCCTCCATCAGATAACACGTTTTCTGGTTCATGTAAAGACGTCCAGCATATCAACGGAGACATGCATCACTGTGATGTGAAATCTGCATCTGTGCACGGCGGCCGTTTTTTTGCCTCCGCAGCAAGTCCTGGGATGGGAGCAGTGATATGAGAGCACGGACCCTTCCGTCTCCGACAATTCAGTCTTTCAGCACCACTCCTGGCCAGAGTCCTGGGGGCGAGAGTGGGAGGAGAAGGGGGAGGGCAGGGAGCATCCTCTGAGAAAGTCCGACCGAGATGGTGTAGTGTTGATAGGGTGACGACCAGAGAGTATCTCAGAGCTAGAAAGCAGTGTGAAAGCTGTTTAGCATACCCATTCGGTAGCAGGGAACTTTAAACTGGAACTGCTGGCTGTGCGATTTTGCATACAAGTACACTTGTGACTCAAACAACCATTTACTTACATCTAAGATGGCAACATTGTGCTGCAATATTTTGTAGGTTGAGATGCTGTTGATTTTGGTAAATAAACTGCTGTCCATGGGCTCTGATAAGCTTACAGCTGGTTCAGAAGGTGTTCAGACTGATTTTACCAATGGTTTCAAATCAAGTCCTCAGATGGGCGATAAAGGTGTCCCACAGGGATCAATATCAGGCCCCTGTTCCTTGCTAAAAATATTTTTAAAAATGTTGTATTTAGTAGAAAAATGTATATGTAGTTATTTAAATATACGGTATTTACATTACTGTAAACCTGGCCTTATCCAGGTTATAGTCTGCTTTTGATGACCGCCCCACACCCCTCTTATAATTTAAAGCCTGTTATAACCATCAATTAGACTAAATATATCAAGTTCATAAGGGCAGAACCACTTATTGTCCTACTCTGATCCATGCTCTCATGGAGATCTAGTCGATACATTATAAATGTTATAAATCTTAAGTATCCTGTATGCTCATGCTGTTATTACACTTAAACCACTGGAAACCATTTATTGTAATGCCATTTAATTAAATACACATAACTCAAGATAACCCTGTGAGTTATATGAAAAGGTTGGATGGTCAGCACTGAGGCATCAGCATTCCTGTGTTTCTATTGCCTAAATATATTACATCTTTAGTGATTAGCCATGATCTGGTGTCTCAAAATCATATAGCAAAGGCTGGCGTTCAAAGTTCCTCATATCAACTCTGACCTGGGAAGACTGGTGTCCGGTACTATGCACTTTACTACTGGATTGAACTGCAAAAGAAATAGAAATCAGATACATTCATTCCTCTGAGGTACAGTTCTTGGCTTCTTGGCCATTATCTATAATATTTGCATTGTTTTAATAAGTGAATAAATATAGTATAGTTAACAAAATACATGGCAGCGTTTTGAGACTAAGACAGAAAGGAAGAAGAGGGGAAAGAGTCTCAATGCACTTTCCCCTGACAAGAAACAGATCATGGTACTGGTGAGAAAAATTGTTTTTATCACGTTGAAGAATATTGAGAAGCCCTTTGTGATTCTGGGCCAAATCGATTTATAGCAACTGATGAGAGGTCTTTCTATGACAGGTAAATTATGACTGTGCAACATTTCTTAACCCAAAAGCCACTTTAGTTGGGTGAAAAATTGTGCTTTACCAACCATGCTATCCAGTTCAGTGCAAAGAACACAGATCTGCTCATCAATAACACAATGACATCTTGGTGGAGACTCTTTTTAATTACAGACCGCATTAATCAGGATTTAACTTTGTTGTCA